CCATGGTAGACTAGACTGGATTAAATGACTTGTGGTTCTAGGGAAAACTGGCGTGTGGCAAAAAAATAGTAGTAAAGCAGGATAAAATCAAGTGTGCAATAAACTCAGTTAAGCCATATAAATCACCGCGCCCGGACAGGATTTATTCAATACTGCAGGCTAGCTTCGGACTGGGGTACATACCAAAAGCATGGAAGCTAACAGAAGTGGCTTTTATATCCAAACCTGGCAAAATCGGTCAGGAAAGAGCTTAGTCCCTGCGGCCGACAAGTCTGATTTCATTCGTACTGAAGACTCTGGGAAAACTGCTCAATATGCATATTAGGGTTGGTGCATTGGTTGAAAGTACTATTTATCAGGAACAGTATGTGTACTGAGCAGGAGTTTCCACAGAAACGGAACTGCACCATATCATACACAGTGTGGAATACGTTCTGGAAAACCAAGGGGTGATGTTGGGTGCAATCACAAGGGCGATTCGTCTAAAAGGAATTGAAGAAACACGCTGCAGGTGGATAGACTGCAAGTTGAGGAGCCGTGTGATATGTAATAAATTAATGTATTATTTATTTAAAATAAATAAAAAGTATACAAAACTCTCGTTGATTTTTTTATCTGAAAAAACAATTGATTTATTGTTTGAGTGGCCACTATTTAAGTATGGTATAAGAAGAAAATATAGGTACACTTTTTGGTAGTTGTCTTTCAAATTAGTGTAATTTAGTAATTATTAAAAACATAAAAGTTTATACGATTACCAATATCCTTGTCATATCCTGCTTCCTGTTGTCTTATACGCCATTTTAATCGAAAACTTACTTAGATGATTGTGTGAAATTATAACGAAGCAACAGTGCTGAAATATATATATATATATATATATATATATATATATATATATATATATATATATATATATATATATATATATATAAAATATAAAAATTAAATATATACATATCGAACGAATTTAAAACGGATCATACAATTTAATATATGTCTGTTTGAACTGCATTTGAAATAGTGGACCAATATAAAACTTGGACAAAAATAAATCTATACCCGGTGTTAGACATTGTATAAAATATCGTTCAACTATCCGTCAACTTTTAGAACCCACCATAGTCTAGAGCGTAGTTCAAAGTCAATCGCCGTGTAATAATCCGATTTGCGGATCTTTTTGAGAGTTATATCTTCTTCGTATCTTTAAATAAATCGGATATTTGCCTATATTTTTTATTGTATTTACCAATCTACTACAACAGACTAATAACAAAAATAAACTTAATGGTTTGTAGTTATTTCAGAAGTTTGTAGTTATTTTAGAAACATCTAGTGGAATGATATTGGCAACACCGCTCAAAATCTCCATCACAGATAAACGAAAGAGGGGCTTGCCTAAAGGCGGCCACTCACGATACAGCGGCGTTGTTCAACTGCGTTTTTAACTACACACTTGCTTTGATCATATTATAGAAAATGGAAATGGCTTGATTTAGCGAGAATTTTTTAAGAGAGTTTTTTAAATTATATAAAAAAACAAGAATGCTTATAGCGAATAAAAGGTAAAACGTATCACGATAGAAACGTCCGAAAACAGGCAATGGACATTCTAGTTTTAAAGTTCTAAGAAGTAAACAAAGATACGAATGAAGAGTATGTAAGAAAAAAAATTAACAATTTTAGAACATCCTATAAAAGAGAATTAAAATTAGCAGTGCAGTCCAGTAAATCGGGTGCAGGGGCAGACGAGATTTATTTTGCACCAAAATCTTGGATTCTTTGCACAAGAATCTACGTTTTATTTTAGGTTTCTTTTTACGCTTAGTTATACACAAAGTAAGAGATGCTAAAATGATTGTTTGATTTGCCATGGTCGAGAACCGAATAAATACTGCGGCGCAGTATGGTGTGTGGGGGGCACCATATATACCAACAAATTGAACAACGCCTCTGTCCGATTATGTCGAACGACACCGCTGTACCGTGTGTGGCCGGCTTTAGGAAGCGATAGGTGGTTTGAACACCTATGAATGAGTTCTTGAATTAGTTCAGAATCCAGCAGCCCGCTGAAATATTGGATTTTTATAATATAATTATTTGACAACCTTTTGTTGGCCAACCATCTACAGCACAATTGAGCCGAAATACATAATATTTCGTATGTTCCGAATTTATTTCGTTCAATCTGTATAACTAAGTTATTCATTTTGACATTTTTACTACCTTAGAGTAATTATTATTTTATAGGATATTATTTCCATTAAATTTTTTTCATTGAATTTAACGATTTATGTCGAAAATGTGCCTTTCAATGGTTCTGTTTGAGTTTCTGAAACTTCTAAAATATATTTTAGTGACACTTATTTTAAGGCACAATAAAAATAACGTCAAATATGAGTGTGTATTTCCTAGGTTCCCTGGCTAACATGCCAATGATTTGGGGTACAATTTTATAAAACCATTTAAGTAAAAAAATTCACTTTTATTAAAAAAAAAGAATCCAAATAAAAATTTCAAAATCTACGTAAAACCTCTATAGAATTAAAATATTTTTATAGAAAACATATTTTAAAAAATAAGCTGATTTCCGTATATAAAGAGCGCTGTTTGTTAGTTTTAGTTAGTTAACAAGTGAATATCGTATTGTAAACTTAAAATATCTAGTTTATATAAATTAGAATTGCTCCTTTTATTGTTAAATACGTTACAGTGGTGTTATGGTGTGAGGTAATTTCCTAATTTAAAAATAAATTAAGCGGTGACTTTTGAACTTTTAAAAAGTATTGTTCGTCGGGAATATTCGCGTATTTCGTTAGTGATTTTCGTAAGAAAGAACATTTGAAAAGTACGTGTGTGCCTGACCAAATATGTTGCCAGTAGAACTTTCAGTAAAGGAGTTACGTGGACAAGTAGAAGAACGGGATGTAGCGGTCCTAAGTAGATCCTTCAAGAACGTTTGAAGGATGTTCTTAACAAGAAGAGATTATCTAGAGACACTCCAGTTTTAGTCAGCAGAAAAAATATTTAACAAAAATAATTCATGGAAAACTTGAACATGTTTCTAGAAGATTTGACGAGAACTTTTGATGTTTCTCAGATGATTGAGGAAACTTCTACAAATAATGACGATAAATTCGAAAATGTCTCTCAAATGATTGGGGAAACTTTTAGACAGAATGATATAGTTTCTCAAATGATTGAATAACATTCTAAAAATATTTCTAAAAGATTCAATGGAACCTTTCAAATCATTTAAGAAGAATGTAGAACAGAACAATGAGAAATTTGAAGAAGTTTCTAGAACATTCGATAAGATACAGAAAAATAGAAAGCAGAGGTACTGGTTAAAGAATTCTTTAACCAAGGGCGAAACTTCGAGTCAACCCTCTTTCAAAATGTTTTTTAAATTTATTGGTGTCAGTAAGACCAGAACAACACCCCTGCCTCCTCAATCAGATGGAATGGTCGAGAGGATGAATCGAACAATGGGTAAACACCTGTCCAAAATTGTAAACGAACATCTAAGAGATTGGAACCAGCACATTCATTTATTTAAACTCTAACCTGGCTGATGTTAGGTTGTGAAGTTCGTTTACCCTGCGACCTAGAGTTTGGCTGCAGACCTTCCAAAGAATATGTTGCAAGCGAAGAATATGTCGACCCCCTGCAGTTAAGAATGAACAACATTCATGAACTTGCCCGACGACACACCCAGTTAGCCAGTGATAGCATGAAAGATCAATATGAATCTCGATACAAGAATGAAAACTTTGAAGTAGGTGATCTTGGCTTTATAATCCACAACGTCGTCGAGGCTTGTCTCCTAAACTGCAAAGACAATGCGAACGTCCGTATGAAATTAAAAAGAGAATATGACGTAATAAGTTGCCAAAAGCTAAACCAAAACTTGTTCACATAAATCGTCTTTTACCTTATGCTGACTCAATTGAAACAAAAGAACCACAACTCCTGCAACATGAGATCAAAGATGACCGACGACCAAGCTTAAGGAATTTATGTCAAATTACATAGAAAGAAAGGGTGCTAGATCTGGCGTGATCAAGTTCAGCAGGCTTTATTTAGTGTTCCGGAAAACGTATCTAAAAAAAGGCCAAAAATATTGTTTATCAAAAAGCATTCAATTAATACATATTTTTTCGTAGATACTGTTTTTGAGTTTTTGTTCTTCTTCTTACGGTGCCTTATCCTTAAGGACGTTAGCCATTACATTTGCCCATTTAATCTTATTTGTAGCAGCCCTGAATAGTTCTATGGAGGTCTTGTTCGTCCATTGCCGTAGGTTTTTAAGCCAAGAGTTCCTTCCTGGTTCTCTTTTGTTATTGACTTTTCCTTCGATTATAAGTTGGAGCAGTTCATACTTTTGATTTCTTATGATGTGACCAAAATATTGTGTTTTTCGTTCTCTTATTATAAGCATAAGCTCTCTTTCCTTATTCATCCTCCGCAAGACTTCCGCATTTGTCGTATGGCTCATGTAGGATATTCTGAGCATTTTACGGTAACACCAGAGTTCAAATGATTGGATTCTTTTTTGTGTTGCTTCTGTCATTGTCCAGGCTTCAACACCATAGAGCAAGGTGGAGAAAACATAGCACTTAATTATTCTAGTTCTCTATTCTAGTACATCTTTCAACTAGCACACGTATTGAAAAAAGTGCTTCTCTTGTACCGAACCCATTCTTAAAACCAAACTGAGTTTAGCCAGTGTGTTCGTCTAGTTTATTGTATACTCTTTTGTTAGGTTGTCTTAATTTTTAATTATCGAATTTTGACACATTCTTTAATTCTAAGACGGGACGAAGTTTACTGGGTCAATTAGTAGAGGATAACAACATCTACGTTAAGTCATATGGAAAACATAGGTGAGAAACAAAAGCCATCATGTTTTGCACGTGCTATAAATATATATATTTCATAAATAAATAAGGAATGTAACAATAATTCAGTAATAAACAATATCAATATTGTATAAATAGGTAAACTTCACATTGTAACAAATAAATATCTATTTTCTAACAATCTAATTGACCTGTTTCATACAGCTGTGGCAATTGATACTCAAATCTGACGTTAGATGAGAGATGAAATTTATGACCTCTTACAAACAGACTTCTAAACTCACGCAAAAGACATAATTACATATTTAAGTTCCCCCTTTCTTCTTACATTTTTAGATTACAAAACTAATTTACTACGAATTATAGAAAACTAATTGCCTGTATGGAGTTGCTTCTATGTGTTGTTAGTAGTTTGTTTTAAAGGTTCATAAACTAAACCCACACCTTGTGACGTCACGAGTTTAACTGTCCACTAAGAGCACGAAAAATTATTATTTTTCATCTAATACTGCAAAATATTTCTCAAACAATATTGAGAGAAAAGCTGCCACGTTTACAGTTCGAGAATCAACCAACAGATCAGGGATCTGTTCTTAAATGTATGCATTTGTATTTATTCTATTATATTAATACCTTATGTCACATTCAGCATACATTCGAGAACAGTGCATAAAATGTTCACAAAAGAATTTTTGTTCTTTGGCAAATATACCAACCATATGGTTATTAAATGTCAGAGGCAAATTCGAGTTATATAAAAAAAAACGATTTTTATTAGGTATTTAAAGAATAGACTGTCACAATCACACGCTAATAAATGTTTTACATCAAAAACTATTTGATACAACTCAACTCAGTATAATTAAATTTTTTAATTTTCACTCTGATTTTTTACTGCACTTCTGATATTTCTGGAACTAGCCTCGGACGTTGAACATAATAATTATTTCATTTAATTATTTACAATGAAAAATTTTGGACAAATTTAAAATCTTGTAAAATTGACTGGACGCAAATATCTTCCTTGATTATGGAAGTTAAAAAAAAATATTGGTAACTCATTCAAAATCTTCAAACTCTTGGGTTTGATCCGTCTTTACTAAGGAAATAATAAAAGTTAGTAAGTATTCAATATATACGAGTAGGTACTGGTCAATAAAAGTCTTAAATGAATTGGATCAAAATGACAAGGTTTTCAAGACTTTGAATGTCTATAAGTTTGGTTTTTATAAACTAAATATAATAGATTTCAATAAGTACCTAATGTAGGACCATATAAATACTCTATAGGATTTGTCTTTTTTTAGTGCTAAATTTACATAGAAGATGGGTAATTGAATATTTTGGCAACTTTGACATATGACTTATAATGAATGTATAATGCGTTGCAAGATACGAGAATAGATTGACATTAAACTAGCCTTTGATAGATGGTGCTACTTGATACCAAATTGTTTTCGGTGTTGATATTTGCCATTCATGACATGACGTCTGTCAAAATTTTAAGTTTTAAAAACAATTAGTTTGGTTTTTACAGCCGTCAAAAGAAAGCAAATTTTGTGTTTTCAGAGAAATGGAAAAAGTCGAGTACCGTTCGGTGATTAAGTTCCTCCATAAAAAGGGTAAAACGAATATGCAAATCAAAGCCGACCTGGACGAAGTTTATGGTGAGGTTGCACCTTCGTTAGCAACAGTAAAATTTTGGAAAGCTGAATTTGTTCGTGGTCGTAGAGTGTTTTTGATGATGAGCGTCCCAGGAGGCCAAATGAAGTCACCACGCCGGAAAATGATCAACAATGTCCATGACATGATTATGGCAGATCGTCGAATTAAGCCCCGCGAGTTAATAGAGGTCCTAAACATTTCCTACGAACGCGTACACAACATCATTCACAATCATTTGGACGTGAAAAAGTTATCCTCGTGATGGGTGCCGCGTTTGCTGACAATCGATCAAATGCAAAAACATGTGACCACTTCGGAGAGGCTTTTGGTGATGATAGGGCACGATCTGAAGGATTTTTTTCGCCGATTTAATATCGTTAATGAAACCTGGGTGCATTATTACACACTGGAAACCAAAGAACAGTCGAAACAGTGGCGCAAATGCGGCGAAGCTCCGCCGAAGAAGGCAAATAGTGCACATTCGGCCGGCAAAGTGATGGCGATTGTTTTCTGGGATGCGAAGGGCCATCTACATCGACTACTTGGAAAAAGGAAAAACACTCAATGGTGAGTACTACGCAGCATTATTGGATCGATTCGATGCCGAATTGCGTCCAAAACGCCCTGGTTTGGAACGCAAAAAAGTGCTCTTTCACCAGAAGAATGCACCGGCACACCGATCGGCCGTCGCCATGGGAAAATTACACGAATTGGGCTATGAATTGGTTGAATATCCACGGTATTCCCCAGATCTTGCCGCCAGCGATTTTTTCCTGTTTCCAAACCTAAAAAAATGGCTCGGAGGATGGCGTTTCGCAACAAATGATGAAATCGTCGCTGAAACTTCGGCCTATTTTTGAAGAGCTCGAGCAAAAGTACTATTCGGATGTGATTAAAAAATTGGAACATCGTCTTACTAAGTGTATCGAGCTAAAAGGGCACTATGTTGAGAAATAAATCGATTTAATTCCAAAAAACTTGTTTTTTTTTTCTATAAAAAGGCTAGTTTTATATCAATCCAACCTCGTATAGTAGAAAATCGTGTCGTGTTGCAAGTGGTGTATAAGAAAAGTGGTGTATTAATCGAGACAAGTGGGGTGCGCCCACATAAACTATGAAAATTTATGGGTGTTCAGATGTAGATGATAGGAAAACCAATAAAAAAAAGTACAAATCAGAACAAACTACAATAAAAATTAACAATTATTATTATTTTTGACTTGACTCTATAACTATGTTCAGGCAAGGGACTAAGTATCAAGAATAAAATTAAAATTATAATCCCTTACGGCAAAAGGAAAAAACAGTCATTATTAAATTACCAAAAATCAAAAAGATAATTTGAGTAAGTACCTGACCAGACCTGTATTCAGACCAGAAGTCTTCGTTCAAGAGAGGTGCAGATAATCAAAAAGTTAACAAAGATAGTAAAGAACATAGTCATCTTTCTAGTGAGGCGAAGAAAATAGTCTCTAAATGTTTATTCTGGAGAATAATTAACATTATTCTCAAAAAATGTTAATACAAAAATATTTTTGATGTTGACAATGCGTTCATTAATAGGGCTAAAAAGGGCTTAATTTGAACAAGATGTCTGTGAAAGTGATTTGAAAATCTAAATGGAAAAGTTTAAATTGTTGAATTCCTGCTTCCCTAATTATTTTTACACCAAAAGTCATTGAAAACTATTTGTGAATTAATGAAATCTGTATCGAAAACTAATGTTAAAATTGTTCTTTTAATTTCGTTAAAAGTCAGACCACACGCAGTGCAAGAATGAGTATAACGTGTTGCGTTTGGTCATATTGATGTTTCTGATATTTCAATCTTAACCATGGTATAAAAAAAAGATTTGTGGTTAAACTGTGTCATAACTTTCAATACATCTTAAATCAATATTATCAAGCGCAACACGTCATACACATTCTTGCACTACGTGTGGCCTGACTTTTAGGGGTGGCCTGAAAAATGTATTATATTTTTGCAAAATTTTGGAGTATGATTAATTCGTAGAACAAGTGTAACATTTGTTTTTGATATATATTTCAGTCCTCTACACATAGTTTCTTAGGACTTTTGATGTAAAATAATTGGGTAAGCAGGAATTCAACAATTTAGAATTTCCCATTGAGTTTCCTATGGCCCGTTTGACAATTCACCACCCGGTATATATATATATATATATATATATATATATTTGTTGTTTACAAAACAATACTGTCTGATCATGTTTTAATGCCGCAGAAGTGATCGTTTTGAAATCAATCTCAAAAGAATAGATATTTAGGAGTCCTATGGTACTTATTGAAATATATTGACTACTTAAATACGATCATTATATTTAAAGTGTTTAAAACACAGGATGAAAAACTGATAACACTTCATTCTCTTGCAATATATGCAGTACCCCTATCTACAACGGTATTTACAAACAGTGTTTAAGTTTCTCATCCGGACGCGGTATTTCTTCAAAATTACTAAAAAATTAAATTAAATGGTTGAAAGCACAATTTCTATACAGGATGACGTAAATATTTAACACTAAATATTACAAAATAAAAAAAAGTTATTTCTATGTTCTTAAAGTCATTTCTTGTTTATATTAGTCACATTAAAGAGGCGACAGAAATAGAAAGCAGTCTCAAATAGTTATACTCAACTTTGAATACAGTAATTAATGAGTTCAATAATTTAGGATTAAAAGTAAAAATAGAAAATGCAAAGATCGTACAACACCAGATAATCTTTTCATAAACAATAAACAAATCCAATTTCCACGCAAATTTCAATGTCTTGGTTGTGTGTGACGCAAAACAGTCCCTGTCTCTTTTTAATATGCCCGTTTTACCGACACATGACTTAAACGACCAGTGAGAAGTTCATGTGGTCGATAAAACCGACCCATCGGACAGAGATGCAGGGACTACTTTGCATCTTCGTCGAATTGGGGGAATGCGATTGTATTGCAGCAGTCAGTATATCTTGTATTATATGTATATGAGTAAAACTGTAAACAGCAGAAATAAGTAAGATTACTAGGAAGTAAGCGTTCGAAATTTTAGAAGAGTGGTAGTTTTACAATAAAAAAAATTACTAACATAATTATCTACATTTACTATTACTATATTCTAATTACCTACATAAATGAAGGCAATAGTGCTATTTTACCAAAACAACACAGTAAAATGCTTCCGCAGTCACCATACCTCCAGATTTAGCCCCAAGCGACTACTAATTGTTTGCTTAATATAAAGAAATGCTCCAATGAAGGATATTTGGACGAAATGAGGAGGTTATTGCAGAATCTGAGTCATGATTTAAGGAAAAAGGCAAATCATTCTATAAAAGGGCATCGAATTGTTATAGAAGCGTTAAAATCATTATAGCACTTTGGAAGGAGACTGTGTTAATAAATAAGGTCGAACTTAGACTAAAAGCTATTGTTTTATTAGTTAGACCTGGGACTTTAACCAAAAAACAAGATCAGAAAAATTCACAGTAAAAAGGAGAGGGAAGTTTTTATAATGTTAGACATTAGTTAGTTTGAAGAACTACATTTAAAAAGGCTCAGAACCTAGACAAGAATAGAATATACTCGTCATTTCATAAGATATACAAAGAAATAAACTTATCATATTCACTAACTTCGCTATAGCGAACATGTACAGCTGCGGTCACTGAATGGTTTACACCTTAATTTTTCGTACGGATTTTATAAAAGTGCTTGTCAAAAACAAACAAGAGCAATTGATAAACTCAATCAATTTAATCAACTTATTGTGTACGGGTCCGCCACTGGTAACGTCACTTTAATGTAAAATGTGCGTGTAAACGAGGTAAAAATTCAAAAAATCGGCTACTAGATATTTAAGGGTATTAACTATTCAATGATTGCAGCTGCATATTAATGCAAAAAGTGCCGTTAACATAGACTAAATTCCAGACGCATTTCCTGTCACAAAAGACTTGAGGTAACGATATTCTTTATCTTGAACTCGATTCAAAATCTACATTCAGGAAGCATTAAACAGCTAGAAAAGAAAATGCACAGGGATGTGGATAGAACTTGGGTAAAAGTATATAACAAATATTTCCTTCGCAGACGATCAAATGAGGCAATCCATGAGGAAGACATGGATTATATGATTCGAAATTTAACCGAAAAATATGAAAACTGAACAGAATATTTGAGAATAAAGGATGATGAAAGAGACTCACAACTCTCGATTAGATATATAAAAAAAGCGAAAAATTTAAATACCATGGCATAGTGACATCGAACAAAAATGACAATCTACAAGTCCGTTGTAGAACCAATTGTGACATACACATCTGAATGTTGGCAAATGAGGATGAAAGAAAAGAAAAACTGGAATTGGTCTAAATAGACTATCTAGTAACAGCGTGTCGGATATCCAGACTTGAACACATGCCAAATGAAGAAATACGCAAAACAGGAAGGATTTGCAATACCGTAGATACAATAGAACCGAAACAACTTTTATGGTAGGGGCATGTAATGCGAATGAAACATTAACGAAAGCCAAAGTAGGCCTTAAACTATGTTCCATGGAATAGAAGACGGAAAGGAAGACCAGCATTAGAATGAAGAGAACGAATAGTGCCATAAATGAGGAGGATAATGGACCGACCGAAACCTATATATATATATATATATATATATATATATATATATGTGGCAACTGGAAAATTGAAGCAAGGGACAGAACAGAATGGCGTAGAAAGCTTGAGAAGGTCGAGGCCCTCTAAGGGCTGTAGCACCAAGATGATGATGATGATGATGATGAATGATGATATATATATATATATATATATATATATATATATATATATATATATGTGGCAACTGGAAAATTGAAGCAAGGGACAGAACAGAATGGCGTAGAAAGCTTGAGAAGGTCGAGGCCCTCTAAGGGCTGTAGCACCAAGATGATGATGATGATGATATATATATATATATATATATATATATATATATATATATATAAATATATATATATAAATATATATATATATATATATATTCACTAAGTGAAATATTTAATGAAATATACAAGACAGGAAAAATACCAGTAGAGTGGTTCAAATCAGAGTTTGTACCATTGCCCAAAAAATCAGGAGCAAAAGAGTGTGAAGATTATAGATCCATACGCCTAATGGGCCATCTTCTGAAGCTGTTTTTAAAAGTCATCCACAAAAGAATTTACCCCAAATGCGAGGAGCAAATTGCGCCCAATCAGTTTGGATTTGTGAACGCCATTTGTACGAGGAAAGCGCTATTTAGCGTGCAGATATTGTTTCAGAAATGTAGAGATGTCAGCTGTAATGTTTTTGCATGCCTGATTGACTACAAGAAGGCTTTCGATAGTGTCAGGCATGAACAAATGATGGAAGTGCTGAGGAGGATAAGGATTGACGGAAAATATTTAAAACCAAGCTATATTGGAATCAATCAGCGGTGCTCCGAATAGATGGAGAATATACAGATCAGGTCAAAATCTTAAGGGGAGTGAAACAGGGGTGCATAAGTTCACCACTGATATTCAATCTGTACTCGGAGCACATTTTTAAAGAGGCTCTAAAAGATATTGCGGAAGGCATCTCAATAAATGGAGTCAAGCTCAATAACCTTCGGTATGCAGATGATACAATAGTGTTTTTCAATACCATAGAAGGGCTGCAAAACTTAATGAACAAAAAAACGGAAACAAGTAGAAAATATGGACTGGATATAAACACCAGCAAAACCAAGCTAATGATCATCAGCAAGGAAATCATAACTGGAGCAAATCTATGTGAACCAAATGAGAATTGAACGTGCCTCACAATACAATTAATTGAGAACTATTATCAAT